GCCCCGCCCCCGGGGGGGGGAGCCGCAGCGACTACGGTCCGGGACGCTGCTGAATCGAAGAGAACGCAGCCCGGCCACTGGACTACTTACTCGCCTTGCTGATTGACTATTTTCATAAGCGTTTACAACTTTTCTAAGAACTTTTGTATACAAAGGAACTTTTACTACTTTCTCCAACTTACATTAATCCAAAGAAGAAGGATCTCGGGCAGTTGGGGTTTGGCTTGGTTTCCTTTTTTCCCCCCTCTTCGTTGACTTTGGGGTTCGGTTACCCCCGGTGCTTCGAGCTCCCAAGGACCTTCTGGGCCCCCACATTAATGAGGTAAGTGAGGCCGGGGGCGCTGGGGACTCCTGTCCCCCTATGCGCTCTGCCCGGTCCTCAGGCAGCCACCTGGCGAGTCTGACATGGCTGTCAGCGACGCGCTGCTCCCGTCCTTCTCCACGTTCGCGACTGGCCCCGCGGGAAGGGAGAAGACCCTGCGCCCGGCAGGTGTCCCGAATAACGTGAGTGTCGCCCAGGCCGTTGGGAGCTCCGGATGGGCTTTCTATGGATAGGTGAGGGCGGGCGGAGCCCCTAGTCGAGGGGAAAGAGGGGCCACCGCGCGGACTCCGCAGCTTTCCCGGGATGGTTTCAGCGCCTTTGGCGCGTGGGTGAGTGCGTGTGGTCCCGACGCTGAGAAGCCGCCAGGAGCTCACACCCGGTCCTCACCCCTCACTCGTCCCAAGGCGAGCAGGCGGCAGGGATGGTGTGCGCCGGCCACCGGGCAGGAGGTGGCCGCGTCCGCAGATACCGGCCGGCCCTAGTGAGCTGAGTGTGTAGGCGGCTCCTTCGGAGAGGGCGCACCGGGAGCGCCTCGCTGTCCCAATTCCGGGGGCGTCCCTGGGATCTGGCGAGGGAAGGACCCAGGCTGGAGAGCCACGGCACTAGCCCACACGCAATCGGGCAGCACGACAGACGTATGATGCCTTCTCGGACCGGGTGTCGGTGGAGATTGCAACGCTGGCACCGGGAGTCGTCGGGCTCTTCCTGCCTGTCCAGTCCCTATTCCTGGGCGGTACAGGGGCGTGTGGCTTGCCAGCACGTCTGTACGTGGGGTGGCAACAGGGGGCCACCACTGACGGTCTCTCTTTCGCCCTGTCACCACAGCGCTGGCGGGAGGAGCTCTCGCACATGAAGCGACTTCCCCCGGTGCTCCCTGGCCGCCCTTACGACCTGGCGGCGGCGACAGTGGCCACAGACCTGGAGAACGGAGGAGCCGGCGCGGCTTGCGGCGGTAACAACCCGGCGCTCTTACCCCGGAGAGAAACGGAGGAGTTCAACGAGCTCCTGGACCTGGACTTTATCCTCTCCAACTCGCTGTCCCATCCGGAGTCGGTGCCCCCCACCGTGTCCTCGTCGGCGTCAGCCTCGTCCTCGTCCTCCCCGTCGAGCAGCGGCCCTACCAGCGCTCCCTCCACCTGCAGCTTCAGCTATCCGATCCGGGCCGGGGGCGACCCGGGCGTGGCGCCGGGTGGCACAGGCGGTGGCCTTCTCTATGGCCAGGATTCGGCGCCCCCTCCCACGGCTCCCTTCAACCTGGCGGACATCAACGACGTGAGCCCCTCGGGAGGCTTTGTGGCCGAGCTCCTGCGGCCAGAGTTGGACCCGGTATACATTCCGCCGCAGCAGCCGCAGCCGCCAGGTGGCGGTCTGATGGGCAAGTTTGTGCTGAAGGCGTCGCTGAGCGCCCCTGGCAGCGAGTACGGCAGCCCGTCGGTCATCAGCGTTAGCAAAAGCAGCATCGTGTGGTGGTGGCGCCCTATAGCGGGGGGCCACCGCGCATGTGCCACAAGATCAAGCAGGAGGCGGTCTCCTCGTGCACTGTCGGTCGGCCCCTAGAGGCCCACTTGGGCGCTGGACCCCCTCTGAGCAACGGCCACCGACCCACTGCACACGACTTCTCCCTGGGGCGGCAGCTCCCCAGTCGGACTACCCCAACCCTGGGTCCTGAGGAACTGCTGAGCAGCAGGGACTGTCATCCTGCCCTGCCGCTTCCCCCAGGCTTCCATCCCCACCCCGGGCCCAACTACCCACCCTTCCTGCCCGACCAGATGCAGCCACAGGTCCCGCCGCTCCATTACCAAGGTCAGTCCCGGGGATTTGTAGCTGGGGCCAGGGCGCCCTGCCTATGCCGGCCCTCCAGGGCGCCTGGGATGGTGCTGACCCCACCTTCTTCACCCCTAGAGCTCCTGCCACCCGGTTCCTGCATGCCGGAGGAGCCTAAGCCAAAGAGGGGAAGGAGGTCGTGGCCACGGAAAAGGACGGCCACCCACACTTGTGATTATGCGGGCTGTGGCAAAACCTATACGAAGAGTTCTCATCTCAAGGCACACCTGCGAACCCACACAGGTAGGGGGCCAGAAGCTGCAGGAAGGAAGGGGAGGGGAGGGAGGCTGGTGTCCTTCCCAGAGACCAGCCACATAAGTCTTCAGAACCTCCTTGGGATGCCAGCACATTTTATCTCCTTCATCTCCTGGATTACAGGAGAGGAGAGGGAACTGGCGCCTTCTTTTTTGCCCAGGAGCCTTTTGCTCCGCGGATGGTATCTGCTTGAATGTGCAGTTCTGCCAGGCCTGTAAAAGGCAGGGAGATTCCCAGCGCTTTATAGGCCTCTCCCAACTCAAGCGAAGCATTGCTCTTATGATCAAGAAATAACTACTTGACGATGCAAAACCCTGATGGCAGTTTTTCATTTTATAGAATTTTTTCACCTTCCCTTTGTTTATTTCTTGTTCTGGTCTTAATAATAGTTAAAATCCAAGAATTTAATAATTATGATTGCTTGGGAGATTCTGGTTTAAACTGGCCGCTGCAGAGAATTTCCAAGTTGAACAAAGTATTTACGGAAAGTCATTTAGGTATAGCATTCATTAAAATAACAGACATGTTTGGTTCAGAAAGAGAAAAAAAAAACAGCTGCTTGTGGCTTTTTGACCCAATTGTAGTGAGAGATTATTGCTTGGTTTGGGCTGGGAGAGAGACACTACCCATCATTTCCAAATTCATTTCCACCACGGTAACAGGTTGGCCCATAAAAATGAAAACATTAGCCCTATAAAAGTGTAAACTTAGGTAGCATTTGTGTGTTTTCACTGCTTAACTAATGTTCCCCTACAAACAGGCAGCTACTTAAGATATAATGTGTTATTCGTCTTTATGATCTGGAGTATAATTCGGCCTCTCAGTGGTAAAGATGTTCCTAAGTTCGTTCAGAATGGGGTACCGGAAAGTTGGTTTCCACTCCAGCCCCTAGTTTTCAAAAATTAACTCTTTGTTATTGTAACTGTTTGTTTAACTTTTTAAAATATATATATATATTCCCTTTACAGGTGAGAAACCTTACCACTGTGACTGGGACGGCTGTGGGTGGAAATTTGCCCGCTCAGATGAACTGACCAGACACTACCGCAAACACACCGGGCACCGCCCGTTCCAGTGCCAGAAGTGCGACCGGGCATTTTCCAGGTCGGACCACCTTGCCTTACACATGAAGAGGCACTTTTAGATCCCAAACAGTGGATGTAACCCACACTGCCAGAAGAGAATTCAGTATTTTTTACCTTTCACACTGTCTTCCCGAAGAGGGGAGGAACCCAGCTGGAAAGCACTACAGTCAAGTTCCCAATAAGTCAGCTTGTGAATGGAAAATCAGGAGAAATGAGGAATCCAAAAGACAAAAATCAAAGAACAGATGATGATGGGGTTTGTGACTGGATCTTCTATCATTCCAATTCTAAATCCAACTTGAATTTTCCTGGACTTACAAAACGCCAAGGGGATGACTGGAAGTTGTGGATATCAGGGTATAAATTAGATCCGTGAATTGGGGGGAGGGAAGACCAGAATTCCCTTGAGTTGTGTTTCGATGCAATATTAAGTATAAAGATCACCTTGTATTCTCTTTGCCTTCTAAAAGCCATTATTATGATGTTAGAAGAAGAGGAAGAAATTCAGGTACAGAAAATGTGTTTTAATAGCCTAAAGGATGGTGCTTGGTGAGTCTTGGTTCTAAAGGTACCAAACGAGGAAGCCAAAGTTCTCAAACTGCTGCATACTTTGACAAGGAAAATCTATTTTTGTCTTATTTTTTTTCTACATGTATGACCTAAGTCAGGTAACTACGCCTGGTTTACTTTTAACATTTTTATGCAGACAGTCTGTTATGCACTGTGGTTTCAGATGTGCAATAATTTGTACAATGGTTTATTCCCAAGTATGCCTTAAGCAGAACAAATGGTTTTTTTTCTATATAGTTCCTTGCCTTAATAAATATGTAATATAAATTTAAGCAAACTTCTATTTTGTATATTTGTAAACTACAAAGTAAAAAAAAAATGAACATTTTGTGGAGTTTGTATTTTGCATACTCAAGGTGAGAATTAAGTTTTAAATAAACCTATAATATTTTATCTGAACAACTTCATTGTTTTGTTTTGTTTTTCTCCTGGGAAAACGTGCAACGATTTTCAGTTTAAACACTGGGGTGGTAGGACATACAAGAAGCACACTCAAAAGCCAACTTGAGCCTCTTTGAGACAGATTAAAAGGCTCTCAACTATTTTGTGTTGCAACAAGTACAATGTCATGGGGCTGAGGGCCCTGGGTGTTGGAAATTATAATACTAACACCCAGTCAGTCCAGGTTTGTGCTTTCCAAAAATGTACATAAACTGAATATGATTTTTCAGGTAGAAGCAGCTTGATCAGTTGGCTCAGCTTAATATGAAAGTAGTCACAAACACGCACATTCCGGTTCACATTTAAAAAAAATAAATGTATGGTTTGTCTTTAATTAAAAGTAAATGACATAAACGTTTTCTCTCTGGAAGCCTAGCCTTATACTCGTCATATAATTTGAACAACAAAAGAAACTTTTCCACAGCAGACAACCCTAAGAACACAGTTCCACAGTGCCCTCCTGAGGATTAAAGGATTCGTTTATTCATGTTATGTGTTAGAGATACATCACTTCTACCAGTGATAGCCCTGAAGGGGTTACAGCCAGAGTTCCTAACAAATTATTTTAGACTCCCTCAGTCCCTCTGAAGATTGGCAAACAGAAGCAAAGATAATTAAAATGGTTTTAAATTATTAATTATTAAAATTCACAAAAGTAATATTTCTACTACTTTTGTAAGTTTGTAGCATTCATATTTCTGCAGTTTTTAAAGTATCTTGAGGTGGGTACCCAAAAGACTGAAGTTCACTTGTAGCTGCCACAAAATGGAAAAAGCATTTGTGACATTCGTTGATATTTTATATATATATATTGTGTGTGTGTGTGTATAGTTGTTGGGAAAGTCACGACAACAAGTCGTATTTTTCTATGCAAAAGTGTGTCTTGACTTTCCTGACGACCTAATGTGTGTGTGTATGTGTGTTTAATGGCGATGTGGATGACTAATTAATATCAAGGAGACAAGTCAACTGGCATTTTCTCTAGCATACTTATTAACTATTATATGTGGTGCCTAGAGGTGTATTTGTATCATGGGTGCAGATTATAAATGGGATTAAAAAAATAGAAATTCGTAAGAGGCTCATGATGGATCAACACCAAGTATTTTCTTTGGCTCTTAAGAGTCCAGCATGACTGGAAAACATGGCATGTGTCTTTGCTTAAAAGAAAACAGGTGCTTCAATAGTATGGAATTTTATGTGACCAAGTACATATTCAAAGCATATTTAATGACATGGAAAAATGCTCATGGTATGTTAAATGGAAAAAGTGGGATATAAGACTATAAACAGTATGACTCCAATTGTGTAAATCTGAATGTTGAAGGAGAGAAAGAAACACTAGGGAATTAAGAAAAAAGACTAGAAGTTCCAAAATATCAGTACTGGTTTTTCTTAATTTGAGTTTGCTTTTTTACAGTTCACAAATATTCTAAAACAAGTTCAATATGTATCCTATAACTATGGGCAAACTTTTTTCTAAGAAGGAAGGTAAAAAGCTTTATTTTAATAAAGTGATTTAACTAAGCCAACATTCTGACACATTTTTCTATGAAATCATGGTTAGTTGCTCTTTGAACCCACCTCTTATACAGACACCTCTAGCACACAGTATATAAAAATGGTTTATTGGATGAGTATTTCCATCTTCACGTTTGCTAAGTGCATATTATCTCAAATAGAAGGAACGTCCCACATAAACTATTAGGATATTTTAAATGTATTCAAATTTTTCTGCTGTCATAGGGAAACATCGCTATACCTGAACTTCTTCTAATCTGGAAAAGAAAGTTTTAACATCTAAAATGAATGGGAAAGATTTCCCCCAACTGTAACAGGACAAAGCACTATTCACTGTACTCAGATTGCTAAACTATTTACTCTAGTACTTATCAGTTTGGGGCTCTGAGGTGTACTGTCATTATGGAGCTACAGCCGTTTATACCGTGTAATAAACAGTACCTAATAATTGAGGTGCCTGCTTATTACATTTTCCTTATGACATTTAATTTTGTATGTCCTAGATTTTAACTTGGATGTATACACACACAAAATATTAATCAATAGTGTTTACTGCACATGAACAGACTTTCAATCTGCCTCATTTTCAGCAAAATATTCTTTCTATCTGAAAACATGCTTGATTTAAAAAAATATATTTAACTTTATTATTATTATTAGTAGTAGTAGTAGTATTTTCATTTGACCAGAGAGACAGAGAGAGAGAGAAAGTGAGAAAGCAAGCTGCCAGGTTTGGGAC